TACATACACCGTTCATCTCGACGATCAGAAGTGCAGTTGTACTTGTAGTATACCACAATTACAGAAAATCTCATGTCAACACGTTTTAGCGGTTAGTTCCAATCAAGATGGTGGTGCTAGATTGCCTTATGACCGGTATTGCTCAGCTTGGTATTCAACAAATCATTATCGGAAGGCTTATAAGGAGAGTTTTCATCCTCCCGATGATACTCGTTATTGGCCGGATTTGTATATACCTTATATATTACCACCTAAGCACAAAAGACAAGCGGGACGACCAAAATCCGTACGCATTAGATCTACCATGGATCAAGGTCGTGAAGGAGTAGCGTCACGAATCCGATGTGGGCAATGTAATCAATTAGGACATAATAGGTCTCGTTGTCCATCAAGAGCAAGTAGATAGCAATTAATTTGTAAGTAAAATATTAGATTAATGATATGTCATCATTATATGTTATTGATTTAGCAAGTAGATACATTGTTCATATGTATTTGATTTGGCAGAAACTCATAAGTTACCGTTATATGTGCAGGTATATACACGATGCTTCCCGGACCGGTTAATGATGAAGTCCTTTATGATCAGTCACGCCACCGTTCGGAGAGCATATCATTTACATCGGTAATGATAACATATTTACAGTCACATATTACTTATTCATTTTTATAATCTAATATTGGTTTTCATTTATGTGCAGAGAGGACAAGAGCTGGTTATGATTGATCATAGCCTTGGACATACGCGCTGGCCACTTGATGATCCTCGCATCATTGCCCTAGTATCCCAAGCTGGTTTTCTTACTTGCTCAAAATTGAAATGGATGAAGCTCGATTGGGCACTGCTTAACGCGTTGATGGATAGATGGAGGCCGGAGACTAACACTTTCCATCTACGTGTCGGCGAGACAACTATTACTCTCCAGGATGTAGCAGTGATCCTAGGTCTTCGCATTGATGGCCCTTGTGTCACGGGGACTGATAGGCATGTTTGGCGAGACATATGTGATACTTTGTTAGGAATATCTCCGGAGTCCTTGCCTGGAGAGTATATTAGATTGAAGTGGCTTAAGGAGAGTTTTGGAAACCCGTTGCCACAAGATGCACCTGAAGTGATGATCCAACAGCATGCGAGAGCATATATTATGCACATGATCGGGACGCTTCTTTTTCCCGATTCAAGTAAACATAAAGTCCATTTGAGGTAAGTAAACATTAAGTATTGATTTTTGCTCACTATTCTTAGTATACATGACTAACGTATTTGAACTCACGCTAGGTGGTTACCACTTATCGAAGACTTCGACGTGTGCGGGACATTATCTTGGGGTAGTGCTGTTTTAACATACCTATATCGAAAAATGTCAAAGGTTGCTTTAATGCAAAATAAGGAGCTCAAGGGTTGTTTAACATTGCTACAAGTTTGGGCATGGGAAAGATTGGTTTTGAAACCACGATTATGCGAGATCCGAGAGTTAGATGGACATATTCCACTAGGCTGCAGGTAAAAATCGTCAAATTGAATCTCATTTGTATTTAATTTTAAATTTAACATTTTGAACAAAAACGTTTCTTGCAGATGGAATGTCACAAAAGCCTATGATGAGACCCCGGCTAGGCAATTAGATTTTTACAGAGGAGAGCTCGACCGGATGAAAATTTTTCAGGTATCGAATTTGAATTGAAGTACTCTATGATATTAATATATTTCAAAGAGATATTAACATTTGGATTTTTTTGCAGTTCGAGTGGCAACCATACACCCCTCACCTACCTCGTCTACCGCTGATTTGTATGGAGGGACACGGCATATGGAAGGCCAGAGTTCCTCTCGTTTGTTTCGAGATTGTGGAGATGCACGTACCCGATCGCGTGTTTAGACAGTTTGGACTCGCGCAACATGCTCCACAATATGTCGAAAAAAATAAAGAGAAAGGCGACTAAAGGTGGACATCAAATTGACTGGCAGCGCACACATCAATCATTCATTGCCAGGTGGAATGATCGACATCAACATATTGCCAATCAGCTTTATCCTCCGATGGAAGAAGTTGATTACATTAAATGGTATTGGGGGATTACCAGACGTTGGATAATCACTCAAACTACGCCTCCAGTCGACGAAATCGAGATTCGCTCACAACAATCCCGATATGTACCAAGAGGGATAGATGAGAGACGATGGGTAAGTTAAATTGTCAAAATTATCATAGAATGTCAATCTCTTGTTAGCTTATGGTTTCTAATATCAATATTTTTATGTAATTGTAGATAAATGCTATGGACGAGGTCGAGGAGATTGCAAATGAGGGCATAGCTACCGCCACAGGAGATTCAGTACATGTATCGATATTGCATCGGATAGTGGCGAGAGTTCGTAGAGCTTTTCAACAAACTCATGAGGATCGGCATGAAGGTCGTGAGCAGGTGGATCTTGACGATACTCTATATGCAAGCCGACGTAGATGATAATCACATTTTATTACAATTTTATACCCTCATTATCTATTTTATATGAATAAATATATCACCAAGTCGAAGGAGGACGCCGACGATCTCAACGAGTGCGAAGAGAGAGACAACGGGGGAGGGGTGGATTTTTTATTTGTTAGTTTTTCCACTAAGATATATATTGTCGTATGGATTTATTGACCTTAGATTTGTTTATCTTAAACTACATATTATCGTATGGGTCGACTTGAGACATTTAGATTTGTTTAGCTTAGACTGATATAAATTATCGTATGGATTTGTGATGTGTATTTTTGTCGGATTTTGGATGTGATGTGTATTCCGTCGGATTTGTGTTGTGATGTTGTTGATTACGTCGGATTTGTGTGGTGATGTACTCTATGATGAGATTTGTGTTGTGATGTTGTAATTTTATAACTTTTTATCATAGTATACAATGTAAATGATATCTTTTTGGCGAAAATTTTGGTTGTAATCGATAAATGAGGCCCGTGCATGTTTGGTGCATGTTGCCCCTCTGCCCAGCAAATCCACGGGACTAGTAGTCCCGTGGATTTGCTGGGCAGAGGGCAAAAAGCTCTGCATAACGTACGGGACTACTAGTCCCGTACGTTTTGTTAAGGCAGAAAATATACGGGGCTACTAGTCCCGTATATTTTCTGAGCTCGGGCAGAGGGCAAAAATGGCTCTGCAAAACGTACGGGACTACTAGTCCCGTACGTTTTGTTAAGACAGAAAATATACGGGACTACTAGTCCCGTATATTTTCTGAGCTCGCTAACCATTAGATTAGTTGGCTCTAAACATACGGGACTAGTAGTCTCGTATGTTTTCTGAACCCACTTTTTCAAAATCGACCTCTTTTTGGCCTATTGGCCAAAAAAAGGTCTATTTTGCTAATTATAGTGCAAAGTGGTCTATTTTGCTATATATTTTATAAAAACGGTCTATTTTGCAAAATTTCCCTAGTTTTGATGATCAAGATGTCTAATCTTAGCTTTGCAGATAACGAACATATTAAAGAACACTTTTGGATTAACATGAACTATGTTTTTTCAATATTATCTAGTTTTCTCACATCCGGTTTTTATCCTCATGCATATCTGCTTATATATCCACATGTATATCTGTAATGATTCTGTATCTATATCTGATTTTAGCGAATATGGATATTAAGTTTCCTCACCGAGGCATATCCATGATTCCATAACCATATCCATACCCGTGATGGGTAAGTGGATATGGATATGTCAATTATCATTTACGAGCCGTATCCAGACCAAATGCACCCCTATGAGCCACAAGCGCATTTCCTTACTTCAGGGAAAGAAAGGAGCAGCTTGATCAGCGATTAGAGATCACGGACAATTGGTTTGATGGGCTGAATCTGCATCAGGTGGGCAACTGCAATTTTCCTCGACTTGTGTGTGGTGCAGTTGAATACTTGATAATAACAAAAATAGTAACTGATCTGCATAAATTTGTTCTTTCTGTTATATAGCCAGCCTACAGAAATTATTTTCAAGTTTTAAACATGTAGAGTTGTGACGCCATAAATTAAAAAGTTCAAGTGCAGAAACTACCATCTATGGTAATTCTGCTGGATTTGTAATAAAAATTTCCTTTAGGTTACTTCTTCATCGAGTTTACTAGCATGTGGCAAGTCAAATAATATACTCCGTTCATTGCCAAAAATTTTGATTCAATTTCTTCCATGAGGACAAATTCATTGCTGGGATTGCAACATAATGCATTGCTATAATTTTTATTGATGCATGTGGCAAGTCAAATAATTTACTCCATTCATTGCCAAAAAATTTGTATCAATTTATTCCATGAGGACAAATTCATTGCCGGCATTGAAACATAATGCATTGCTATAATTTTTAATGATGCATCGGTTTGAATTAGACCATATATGACCATTAAATCTTTAGAGGCTATATAAAACAGGTGTTAGCGATGGAACTTGAATCTTCTCCGTTGTCGCTTTTAGTAGTGATACACCACTCCACTCCATCAATTATGATTGGTAAAATAACATTTAGACGGTTGTGGTTCACTTTACAACTTACACTATTATCCCCTATAAATTGCAAAAGCTTTTCACCATAGAAAAAAAAACTTCTGTAATTAAATGGCAGGTGGTTATGATTCAGAAAGTGGATTCTAATCAATAAAGTCTCTCATTTCCTTTTTCCAACTAAATCCCAATAGTAGTTTCATACTTATAATGGATCCAAACGTCTCTCATTTCCTTTTTCCAACTAAATCCCAATAGTAGTTTCATACTTATAATGGATCCGAACATTCATAGGTCATTCTGTTCTTAGTATCGGACAACGACAAGGGATATTGCACCTAGTGAAAATATTGCCACAAATTTTGAAGATGATATGTTTGTTATCCAAATCATTAAACCACAGTCAACAGTATGCTACACAGCTAACAATCCGGAAGGCGCACCCAAACCGCTGAGACAAAACATCAAACACCTAACATGCAAGAATTGAATAACCCAAACCAACCTCTGCGCAGACCATCACGACGTCATCCATGTCGTCCCCAAAGCTCTCCTTGCTCCTCAAAAGATTCTTCTTCAGCTCATCTTTGAACTTATCAGTCTCCTGCAATTCAAAAAAGAATCAAACTGGGCCCAAAAATAAATTTAATTGAAAAAAAAAAAGAAATGAAGGAATTAACGCAGAGAACCAACAGCGACAGCGAATACGGGGTCTGGGTCCGGGTACACGTATTTGGGGGGTTGCCATGCTGCGAGCGCTGGTCTCAGGCTAGAGAGGACGAATATTGGATTCGGGTTCGAGTTCTTATTGGGTATTTGGATCCGGTTAAGTGATGATGGGGAACGGGAAGAGGGAAGTGATGTAATTGGAAGGAAGCAGGAGCGGGAAAAGAGGAGGAGGCTCATTGTTGGTGGGCGTACAAAGGGCCGTTGGAAGTTTTTTAACCTCTTTGGTCGTCAGTTGTTGCTCTGCCCTCATCTGCAAATTTTGCCCAGGGTGTAAAACCCTGAAGGTAAATAAAGTGTAGGCCCATGAGAGTTATGGCGGCCCACCCCATACGTAAATGCTATAGCGTGCCTCATGGGCCGTGTTTGGCGGTTTAAAAAAAACTGTAAACTCAAAGAAAAGGAAAGGAAACAACACGATGGCCCGTGCCGCTCGCATGCTAAGCGAGCGCTCTCCTAATATTCATCGCTGAGCATAAAGATCAGATAGTTTTATTTGAGTTTCCAGGAACCAGAAAAAACTAAAGTTTGTTGGATATTTTGTTGGATATTTTGTTGGAGAAAAGGCAATTTTTCCGAATGCTAATAAATTTTGTAATTAAATATATGCTTTAATTAGAAATTAAAATGAGCATAATGGCTATACATTATGACGAACGTTACGGAATTAATTACGGGTTTTGTAACGTCTTTTCCAACCCTATATATATATCCGTATGTTGAGCTCAAAATCATAAGAAAAAATATACAACAAGTTTCTCTTGTTTTTCTTCTCCCCTACATATTATTTTCATCTACATTTTAATTTTATTTTATGGGCAACTTCCTTCATCTGAGCTGAAGCTCTGCACTCTCGCCCGAGTGCAGAGGCCGGCCGTTTCCGAGGGCTTTTACCGCTAAGGGGGAGGAATCATCCGCACCAGGGTGATAGGCGGGTTCTCAATCTTCTAGGACAGTGAATACACGACTGCTCCCGTTAGGCCTAATTTTTATTATCTCTCATTTATTTTGATATTATTTCGGATTTATTTCATGCTATAATCTTAAATATTTGATTCTTTTTCCAACAATCTAGAAGATTGAGTATATAGCACTTAAGTATTAAATCTGAAATAATTATAAGTTTTCTGTCACTGTTCATTTTTAAAAAATATTTTTGTTCATCCGAAAGAAAAAAAACGAAAGTCACTGTTGAATCTCTTTTTTTTTACGTGCAATTTACAATTACTGTTCACAATTTAATCAGAAATTGTTGTTCATTATAAAACAAAAATTACTGTTTATTAAAAATATTTCTGCTAATTGCTTATCTATTAATTAATAGTATTGTTGAAATAATGATAATAATTAAATTTTTGTTACTGTTCATCCGAGGATTTTTAACTGTTAATTATTGCATTTATTACATTTAATTAATTGTTGTTAATTAAGTTGTAATAATTACTGCTAATTAATTCTAACAGTTACTTACAATTAATTGTAATTATAATTGTTTTAACTGCTTTTATTGCTTTAATTGCTATTTTAAGATGTTGCAAGTGGGCTCTTTGCCTTCCAGTACCTCACGAGTCTGAAGTTCAAGCTCTTCCACAAATTAAATCGTTCTCAGCCTTGATGTTCTAAGCTTGCTGGGGCGAGCCGGAGTCGTTCTGACAGACCCCACAAAACAAATTTTTACTCTCACGACATGTAAATCATGAGGTTTTAACATCAAAAGGTAAAACCCTCCTCGACCTTATCTAACATATGTTTGCAGTATAATTGCTAGGCAAATTAAATACTTGCAGGAAATATTTTAAAGTTTCTATATACTGTTAAGGAACAAAAACTCATTGAGTGAACCGATTCAAGTTTTCTTAGACTAGTTGGTATCTAAGGCAAGGTTTAGGAGTTGCGTAACGCGCTCTGCAAGGAACGAGGTAATTAATTGATCTTTGATCAACCTCTATTACTATCCTTACCTGGCTAACTACCCGGGTAAAACTTTAATATTTTCGCTTTAGGAGTTTTTGGTTTGGAATAAGAGGACCAGAATTATGAGAAAAATTCAGATGCATTTATTTAATTACGCTTCTTGCAACATATATTGCCTAATGATAAATGATCAATATATGAGCGAACCAAATCAAAGAAGTACATCTTTTAAAATTCTATTTTATATGATGGATTATATTTCAAATCTTCAAATGTAAAGTTCATCTCCTTCTTTTAAAATTCTATTTTATATGATGGATTATATTTCAAATCTTCAAATGTAAAGTTCATCTCCTTTATTGCATCATGATGGATATTACAATAAATGTTCATATGTCAAATCTTCAAATGTAAAGTTCATCTCCTTTATTGCATCATGATGGATATTACAATAAATGTTCATATGTCTTTTTAGATAACTTACATTTATTACATGATTAATTACAAGGTTTTATGCAAGAATGCACTTGTAAAAATTTAAAGCACATATGTACAAATAATAATAATAATAATAATATGTGTTTAAGAGGTGGTACTAGAAAATGGTCATGTAATTTTGGATGGTCTCCTTTGTAGACAACCAATTTAAATTTGGAAGGTCTTTTTTGAAGGTAACCAATTTAAATTTGGATGGTCTCTATGAAGGCAACCAAATTTTTAACCTCTTATAATAGAAATTTTTTAAAAAATTTATGCATATGTAGTAAAATATATTTTAAGATACGAAATCCTATTATAAGGATCCCTTGAATGCTTTGTATGTAACTATTAGTAATGTCATTCTTATATATGCATATGCATGCATGTGAAGAATTAACTAAAGTATTTTAGTTCTCTTCAATGCAGTTACATTTTCAGACATAGAAGACGATCTTTTATGCTCATAAACCATGACCTTTTATGCTTACATGTTGCATTCAAAAATGCTGTTTATTATTATTATTATTTTGTTGTTAAATTGATTCCTCTATCTTTTGAACTCTAAAGGTTCTATTAGCAACGTTGGGTTTTAGTTTTTTAAATGTACAACATATTGTGTTTCCAAAGAACCCGGAAGTTATGGCAAACCCTTTGTGCTTTTGTTTTCTATTTCTTCCTTGATAATATTTGGTCATTACAATTTCTACTTGACATGAGCACATATCAAATTTGTTTAGACATTTAAAATGAAAATGTCTAATTATTATAATCCATTGTTTATTGACAATAGACATCAATAACTATGCTAACATGTTTTGATAGTGACTAAAAGAATCATTTTATAGCTCTTCATTTTACTACATATATAATGCTTTCTCTTGAGATTTCAGAAAATGATTAGAGTTGATATAAATATGCTCTGTCAACTAGTATGTCTAGTTACAGGAGATGTGATGAATCAATGTCTTGAAAATCAAATCAAGAGGTATATCTTATAACTTCTTTCTATATGATGAATAAAAGTTCAAAATCATTGAAGTTATAATCAAATTAGTCCATCAAATAAAATAAAATAAAATTGCTATTAGGCTTATCCTTATAAGTTGTTTGAAATTAATATCTCCTCTTATTTCTTGTACTCTTGCCTGGAGAGACTAATTTTAAATAACTTAACAAGAAGATGACCTAATGTCAATTTCAAACAATATGAAGGACTAATTACAAAATAATTTAAGAACTTGATAAATAAATACAACGTCTAATAGGCAAAGTTGTGATCTTGGACTTTGTAAAGTCTGAGAAAAATATTGCTGACCCTTTGACTAAGGGATTATCCAGGAGTGTGGTTCTGGATTCATCGAGGGAGATGGGGTTAAGCCCATAGATGAGGTCACTGACAGCGGCAACCCAACCCTTATTTGGAGACGTAGTCCCAATATTGGTTCAATGTGGTAGAAACAAGCTGGACAAGTGACTCTCGTGTGGAGCATCGACCTAGATATATTTATATATCATTATGTAGCATTTACTACTACCCCTTCTCTATGATGACGATGCTCTTATGATACAGCTGGCTAGGCTGAGTTTTACTCTTAATAAGTCCAACGCGTGTATTGTGGGGGGTATTAAATAAACAGCTGTAGTACCCTTTGAGGACTTACCTACGTGAGAGGAACCGTGATGGCCGCGGTTGGGGGAGCAGGGCTGACCCCTAGAAACTCTCATGAGTAGGTTTTTTATAAGAATGGCATTTAACGCTCAACCCGCTTAGCTCAATAGATGAAACGTATTGTGTGTGTTTTTATCAATACCTGATCCAAGGGACCTAATTCAAGGCCTAGTCCATTATGTCCCTCAGGTGGCGATGAACCCACTAAGGAAAGGTTCAAAGCCGAGAGCTACCTCTCCCGAATTCACGATACGAAAGGTTGCCCAACCTACATTTATTTTGTGATTTATTTATTGATTTATTATTTTCAGTCAATATTGCCTTTTGGGGGGGACTGTTGGAAACTTATTCATGAAAAGGCAATTTTGCCTTTGTGAATAGTCCCACATCGGAAAATGAGATGAATAGTAAAGGGTATATAATGGTTCTCTCCTTATTGGGCTTTGAATAGTGTTTTGGGTTTTGTGGGCTTTGCGGTTCTACCACACACGCGCGCGCGCGCACGCACGCCACGCCGCGCCTCGCCCGCACGCCACGCCGCAGCCGCACACGCACACCTTTTTGCTTCTCAAGCTTTTATTTTTGCACGTTTTACACGTTCTGTAACGGCTGCATGCGGGTAACGGAAGCAATAACCGTGCGTAACGGTCCCTTGGATTCAGCGGGGGTTACACCTTTCATCACCTATAAAAGGAGGCTTGGAGCTCATTCAGAAACACACCAACGAAGAGAAGAACTTCTAAGCTCTCTTCTTTCTCTACTCTCATTTCTCCAAGAAATTTCGGCTACATATTTACATTTATATTTTGGGCAACCGTTTTTGTCTGAGCATAAGCTCTGTGACTCACGCCCGAGTGCAGAGGCCGGCCGATTCCGGGGGTTTTTACCGCTAGGGGAGAGAGGACAAACTGCGCCAGGGCGATAGGCGGGTCCTTAATCTTCTAGAACAGTGACATCACGACTGCTCCCGATCATGCCTGAATTTTCTAACTCTTTAATTTGGATTTTCTATTATTATATTCCTGTTTTGACAGCAATCTAGAAGATTGATTAAA